TGAGTTTATATAATTTTCACAGGACTTTGGTTTTTGTGCCATCCGAAGGACTAGACACTATTCCTTGCCAACAGAGAGAGTGTGTCTAGTCTTTGAAATTAGTGTGAATTGATAGTAGCTGCGAGTCTGACTGGTAAACAGTTGACTAGTCCTTTGCATAGGATGGTAAAATGAGGACCACCAATGTACACATTGTAAGGTGTTGCCTAGTTGTTCGGATGGGACGGAAAATCAAGATTCCTTTGTTTACAAGTTGGCAAGCTTGTAAAAGAACCCTTGAATTTAACGATGAAACATTGGAAATGCCACTGCCTGGGCAAAATTCACCTTTCTAGCCTTGTATATATATGTTATAAAAGAAGAAAGTGAACCACGTGTTAGTCTCAACCTGCGGTTAATTGTGTTGACAGGACACTGCCACTGTCTGGGCAAAATTCACCTTTCTAGCATTGTATATGTGACCAACCATGGAAGAAAATGAACCACATGTTAGTCTCAAAATGACCAAGGTGTTGTTTCGATGTGACACTGCCTCATTCCATTTCTGCCTCTTGCCTTCCCTTGTATTTTTGGGAAACGCGGCTGCTTAGTGAGTAAGATGCTGTCATTGAGGTCCCATGTTCGATCCTGGTGATGGCCTAGAAAGTTCATCTGGATTTCCTGGCATGGTTCCTCCTTGTCAGTGATACCAGACAGAGGGCCTGGCAAGGGAAAACATGTAGGCGTTCAGGTGGGATGAAAAAAACGAGGTCCCATGTACACCTTGGCATGCATGTAAAAGAACCCTTGACAGTTGGAATTTGAAAAAAAAGGGTAGACCATAATGCAGTTATCTAGGCAAAATTTCCTTCATAGCACACTGCATGGCATAAGCGAGTCTTGATTAGCAGAGTCAGTGCTGAAAAGTAGAATCTAAAAGCCCATTTTATTTCAGTTATCAATAGTTATTATTTATTAAAATGTTAAAACCTATTGATTAATCCTTCCGATATATTGGCGCTCGAAGAATTTCATGGCGCTCTAACCTTCCCTATCTTTATGCTGATTCAGACATACCACAATCAATAATTTAACAAGAATATACATGGAAAGTTTTAAATGAATCAATTTTTACATTCCTGCAAGACATATTGAAGTGCTTAAGTCGTGCTAAATCAGATACGGACCTGTGATAAAAGCAAAAGAAAATGGAAGACTGTTTATTTAAGAAATAAAAATTTAATAATTGAACATAGGCCCTCACAAAAATGTTGAGGGAAAACATTTGGCGCAATAGTGCACTAAAATAAACTATGACAAATTAACGCCATTACTAAAATTACTGTAAATAGGAGAGAGAGAGAGAAATGAGGTTTAACGTCCACTCGACACAAACTAGGTGAATTCGGGACTAGCATATGGTTTAATTTTATTTCAATAATTCACTTGCGCTTAGGGGTCGTCAGCATTGGGAGGAAACCGGAGGACCTGATGAAAACCCATGAGGTTGGACAAGAGACCCTACTCCTTGTCACGTACTACCGGGGATTCGAAACCACGCCAGTTGACTCAATGACAGGTCTAATGATACAGCGCGCATGTGCTAACCATTCTGCCATCCAACCCCCACTGTAAATGGGAGGATGAGTGCCTACTAAAATGTGGGCATGCTATGATGCCTACTAAAATTTTGAAATCTTGAATATCCCAAGGATTTGAGCTAAACGGAGCTACATCGCTAACATTTGAGTCAACTGGCGTGGTTTTGAATCCCCGGTTTTACGTGACAAGGAGTAGGGTCGCCTGTCCAACCTCGTGGGTTTTCTCCGGGTCCTCCGGTTTCCTCCCACTGCTAAAGACCCCTACGCGCAAGTGAATTATTGAAATAAAATTAAACCATATGTTAGTCCCGAAATGACCTAGTTTGTGTCGAGTGGACGTTAAACCCCATTTCTCTCTCTCTCGTTATTTGTTTTTTTAATTCTAGTGTAACAAGGTCTACTACCCATTGACTTTAAATACGGTCATTTGATTTTTTCAAATAAATCTATTTTCAGCAGATTTTCTTTAACAACTTGTTCATTTTTATAACTTTACTATTTTTATTACAGTATATGTCAATTTTAGTCTTCTGGTCTAAAAATATGTAAAGATATCATTTTGGGCAGATTTTGTGAAATGGCACTCGTCCACCTTATTGCACTAGCAATATTATGTTAGTCAATATGTTCTCGATATTGGACTTGCTTCCATTTTAACTTGCTGCGTACGTACTCCATCTTCTTGGTATAGAGAATATCGTTTATTGCGATCCAGTTGATGGATGGCGCTGTCATTTACTTGAACAGAGATGTTGGATTATTGGTTGATTGTCCTTTGAGAAAGGGATCGGGTTACGTCGTCCCAGCCTCCCTTCAGTCTCTGTATTATCAAACGATAATAAAATCCTCTTAATAATTGTTCGTTTACCTTTCATTTGACATTCTATTAGATTTTTAACGGCTCAGGCGGTTTTCCGAGTAAACAGAAAAGCACCGTATAAGACAGCTTATTTAGCGGAGAGTGATATAGTGGTCTATAGTCTAGGTCATTGAGTTTGCTGACCCGAAGCATGTTGTGAGAATTAGTTTGGACAGAACTAACGCAGAAACTTTTCATAAATCAGTTTTGTCCCATCATTGTACCCTACATGGCGTATGCTCATTTTCATTTTCATGTTTAATGACCTAGAGCTAAAGACATTGCGTAATATATTTAAACGTCACTCGTGTTGTTTCAATATATTACTTATTGTCTCGTTCTCGACCATTAAACCAGACATATTACATTATGATATGCATTGCGATCCATATGTGTCAATGTCTAGATCCCAAATATTAGAGATTTGGCTCCTTTAAATTTTGTTTTCTCACAGTCATTTTGGGCTGATTTATATTTGGTCTGAATAAAATATTTTGCACATTTGAAATGCCTTCCTTTCTTAAACCCATATTGAAGGAACTACACTGATTACCAATTCACTCCCGAATTGACTACAAACTTTTTTGTATTGTTTATAGATGTCTTCATGGTTCCAGTCCTGCATATCTATCAGAGCTAATAAACCATTACGTACCATCCCGTAACTTAAGATCACGAGATATGTGCTTATTACGCATTCCAAAGTACAATCTACAAACTTTCGGTTCTAGAACATTCCAGTGCACCCTTTTTGTGGAATTCCTTACCCCATCATCTTAAAACAGCTCCATCACTTGAATCTTTTAAAACAAAATTAAAAACTCATCTATTTACCACTGCGTTTTAGTTGGAGTGGATCAGGATTTGTGTGTAAATAGTGACCATAGAGTACATAGTACACGTCTAGAGCATGCATTTGTGGATGAATTGGCGCTTTACAAATATACATTCTTATTATTAATTAAATGTCCATGAATAATCCATAGTACAATCAAGGGAGAGATAGAGAGAAATGGGGTTTAACGTCCACTCGACGCAAACTAGGTCATTTCGGGACTAACATATGGTTCAATTTTATTTCAGTAATTCACTTGCGCATGAGGTTGAACCATCGACCCTACTCATTGTGCAACGGGATATCGAAACCACACCAATTGACAGACGGTGTGATATGATACAACGCGCACACGTTAACCATTCAACCATATCAACACCCCAGAACAACAAAGGAGTTGGCTCAGGGTGTGCAGATACATTAAACTGTTTTTGCTTCACAATATTTCCCACATTTCTCACAACAAGTCCCTATACTTGAGTCTTGCTGGGTGTGTACAATCAAAGAGTTATCCCTAGGCATCACAAAACCTCTGTGCGACGATAAATTTAACTACGACTGTTTTAGCTTCACAATGTTTCTCACATTTCTCAGAATTGGTCCGTATACTTGCTGGGTGTACAATCAAAGAGTTATCCCTAGGCGTGACAAAACCTCTGCGCGACGATACATTAAACTACCACTGTTTTACCTACGTAATTGGGACTATTCTTGTCTAAAATAACTCATGATAATCGGAAGATTGAGGATCATTCTCTTACAAATGCCTTGTCACCATAATTATGCCATTTTGCGTTTACAATTACCGTTGTGAGATACGAGGAACAAGAATCCATATATTCAGTTAATTATGATAAAAGAGACCTGATCGATCCGGACATTAGACAGTGTCACAGACATCAAGTGATACCATATTTCAGAGACCAGACTAATTTACTATTTTTATTGTCACAAATAACCATCGCGGATGTCTGCATTTTTTCCTTCAGAGATGTTGTCAGAGAAAATTACTTACAAAAAATATCTGGTAAACATTTATTAGCTTATTCCAATTATGACATTCCACATAACAAATTATACCAAGAAATATTTTTTCCTTGAAGTCTGGTAACTCTGGCAATGAGCTCTTTTTTTTCCAATTCTGAGCGCTGGCGGGTTTGTTTCAAATTGGAATAAAAACCCATAGATGTAATAGCTAGATTGTCTATAACAGGTTTCAAAAAGAGAGAGAGAGAGAGAGAGAGAGAGAGAGAGAGAGAGAGAGGTCATTTTGGTACTAGGAGTTGAAATGAAATGGGGTTTAACTTGCAGGTGATCTAAAATCAGTATGAATGTAATTTGATTTTGTTTTGTCTCTTAAGAAATATTTAATTGTATTAATTTGGTGAAATATTAAAAAAATAATTCATTTTCGAGACTAACAAATTCCATTCATACTGAATTTAGATATCTCTCTCTCTCTCTCTTTCTCTCTCTCTCTCTCTCTTTCTTTCTCTGAATCACAGCCACTTTGCTGAGAATAGAATTGTATTTTACTTCAAATATTGAGTTAAGAAAAGAAGGATTGACATTTTGATGTCTCGTGTCACACGGATTTAAAAAAAAAATTAGTTATTTGTTTATTTTCCAAATTCTTAACACATATTGTTTAAACTGTACAGGGTTACACGACTTTTGTGTGACTAATAGGAGATAGTTTTTCATGTGATTAATAATTTGTAAAGAGAAAGAGTCCATTGCTATGAAATTATGTCAATATTAAGCCAAGGGGCATATTGAGTATTTGAGTTAAAGTTTGTTGGTGCAGTTTAAAGTATTGAAGAAACTGGGGATAAAATACATGATTTATAGCCATGGAATATGACAAAGAATTTAACGCTAGATATTTAACAGGTAAATGATTGAAAAAATTGTTGTTTTAATGCGTTTAAAAATACAATACTTACTTACAAGTCAGAAAAGTTACTTGATTTGCTGTTTCAGAGAGAGATCTCTACACTGTCAATGTAACCATATTGCTGTCAATGTAACCATATTGCTGGCACAATATTGTTGTCAATGTAACCATATTGTTGTCACAATATTGTTGTCAATGTAACCATATTGCTGTAAATGTTGTTGTCAATGTAACCATATTGTTGTTTAATGTCCTACTGTTCTGCTCCGACTGGGTTAGCTAGCCAATGTCTTACTGACTTAGCCACCATGGCTTCCAATAAGTCATGTATATGTTTTTGCCAAATAAATCTATCTACCGCACACTGACATATAAAATACAGATGTGACGTCATCCTTTGATGTTGGCGTACCATTATTTCCAATAATGGTATGGGCAACTTGCCAATCATACATGATCTATACTAGATGAAATATTGGACTCACGTGACGTATTTCATTGAAAAGCACGTACAGGATAGTGTCTATATTTTAAGTTGTTTAATGATTTCGAGCCAAAGACATTGCATAATATATTGAAACAACACTCAGCTAACTCCTCGTGCAGTATCAATATATTACTTAATGTCTCGCTCTCGACCATTGTGTGATGGATAATGACCAGAAAATGCCCCTTTTTTTACTGTTGATGCAAGGGTCATTAATTATTATTGATTATTGATAATGATTATTATCTTCATGTTTTTAAAGTATTGTGTTGGTCATTATAATGAGGGTTAGGTGGTCAAGTAGTATAATTAGTGCGCTTTAGGTCATAGGATCTGTCATTGAGTCAACTGGCGTGGTTTTGATTGCCAGTTTGTTTGTGACAAGGAGTAGGGTCTCCAGTCCAACCTCATAAGTTTTTTCCCGGTCCTCCGGTTTTCTCCCACTGCTAAAGGACCCTATACGTAAGCCAATTATTGGAAAAGAGGGTTTTAACAATAGGATTAATAATAGCTTTAAAAACTCAGGTGAAATAAGTAAAGAAATTTAAGCAAGAAATTTTGTAAAACTTGATCACGGTAGCATGGCATTCTTAACATGATTACTAGAATAGCGATATTCCATTTAGGCTGAAAGATTTGGGATTTGATAGGTAAGGAATGAAATCAGTAAAAATAAAAAAATAAAAAACGAAGAAAGAATTTTGTTACAACGGCAACATAATAATTCAGTTTTATAGAAGAAAATTGTAGCAGGGCCAAGTCATATGACATTAGAAATTCTGATATTTTGCCAAACTTGTTAGCGAGGAGGTCAGACTACTCTTCGACTTGAGAGTGTATAAATAGTCAGATTGTATTGATCAACACGATACTTTGAGTAGGGTTAAATATACGATATCAGTCAGTGTAACAAAAGCTACAAAAAAAAGTCATCAAATAGGTGATTCAGAGTCTTGTTTTAGCTAAAGTTGACTTGGTTTGTTTGTATAATTAATAGTTTATTTTATATATAGAAGGTTATCTTGTTTAACTTTGTCCCACCTTCCTAAATCTGAATGTATGATGTATATATTCTGTTACATAAATGGCAGGTTGTGTCAGGGTTAGGATGACCGAGTCGTCTAGAGGGCCAGACTTCGAGCTCTAGATGGCCGGGCACCTCTGGCTTGCGGTCGTGGTTTGTTTCAATCCCTAGTGTGAGTGTATCTGGCTTGGAGATAGGGACTCCTTCTCAACCTTGTGGGTTTACTACAGGTACATCAGTTTCCTCGGTGTCCATGCGCTAATTTAAACATACATTAGGCAAGAGCTAAATCTGCCTACTGCAGGTCATTCTTAGGGCCTGAAATGTTGTATAAACTATTAATTAGACATTTATTAACATGAAAAGACCTTAATCAACTTATGTGTCAGATTTTCACTGGATTTGAATCCGATTTGCTGCTCAACGGTCATTGATGAATTTATTCAAAAATGGATAATCAAGACTATGTTTTTTTTTAAATTGTACCGACTTTAGTAATGGAGATTGAGGCAAGGCCTAACAGTCAAAGCCTAATATCTTGGTTCAGAGTGGATCAATTTGACTGTAATGTTCAGCATATTCCCTTTACATTATCTAGTTTTTATCTATTGTAGTGAGAACTGCCAGCTCTTTATCTAATCTCCCATAATGTATCTTTAATAAAAGTAAAAATATCATAACTTGTCTGCGATATTACTCTTGGTGGAAGCGAACTTAAACACCAAGAACAACAATGGAAGGTTGTCATGACCACCAGATAAATTTGATTTATAGATAATTTATAGATATGAAACATGTAATACTGACAATAGAACACTTGATGAAACATTTAATACTGACTTTAGCACTGGCTCTATTGAGTTATTTTAAGTGAACATTAAACACCTCTCTCTCTCTCTCTCTCTCTCTCTCTCTCTCTCTCTCTTTCTTTCTCTCTCTCTCTCTCTCTCTCTCTCTCGGTATAATAGATGGCTCTTCTGAGGTATATAAAGTGAACATTAAACCGCTCTCTCTCTCTCTTTCTTTCTTTCTCTCCGTATAATAGATGGCTCTTTTGAGTTATATAAAGTAAACATTAAACCGCTCTCTCTCTCTCTCTCTCTCTCTCTCTCTCTCCATATAATAGATGGCTCTATTGAGTTATGAGTAAACATTAAAACCCCCCTCTGGTTCTCTCTCCATATAGTAACAAGTATCCTGTCAGCTCCACCATATGTAACAAGTCATAATCACTGTAATCATGTACCATCTGAAACATGTAATCATATCGGAAACAACTTCTATTGAAACATGTTGAAGAAATGGAACATTTGATGGTTGAATTTTAAAATCATGAACTTTTGCAAGATAATCTTTAAGTGGCATTTAGCGATTGGGAAACACATTAACAGAACACAGTTTTTATGGGAAACAATCACTAGTTTTATTCTAAAAACACGACGTTTCAAACTGATTGTGCTTGATAACGATAAGAGGAAACTTGTCGAAAAGTTCTTTTTTTAGAATAAACCAGTGATTGTTTCCCATAAAAACTGTGTTCTGTTAACTTTTGCAAGGATTTGAGCCTAAACTACAAGATCTACTGGTAAGAAGAAACCAAAATAACCAGGAGATCTTCAGAGCTTGATAAATAAAAAGTCACTCGATCTCGTGGCTGTTTTGTTGCAAATTTTAAAACATAAAAGTTTGGGATAAAAGCTTTGGAGAAGAATAATCAGTGTTTTTTTTTCGTTTTGTTTTTTTGGTGGGGATGTGTTGTTCCCAAGGAAATGGGAAGCAGAATTTTAATAGATATTTCCGAAGAATAAAAATTCAAATTGCTGTACGTCTAATCGAAAAACATGTATACCAGTGGGGATATGTTTCAGGAAAGTTGATCATGAATAACGATTTTAATTCCACTGTGTAAACTGTAGTCTAATCTGTCTTTTGAAATTTAAATTTATCATTTTCCGAGCTCGATGAAACATCTCTAGGCTACACACAATCATTATTTACCTTATAGATGGTTAATATCTCACTAAGTCCATTAATTCACATTATAAATCATCAACAACCAGAAGACTCAAGTCATCGACATACCATGCCCTCCTATTCCAAAATTGTTTCCATGGAAACACAAAATTCATTAAAATCTGGGATATTTCTAATTAGCAAAAGGCCCAACTACTGTGATAGTTTGATGCTTGCAAAAGTTTTATAAATATATTTTATGAGATATGCCCAGGCAACAGAATCAGGACAGACACTATAACCCAGGTACCATTTAATCTTGTGTATTAATCATCATCATACATCAATAATCAATTGGGTTGTTTATTTTTTTAACAGTGATCAAGAAATCAAACACTTGTAAATTGGATCAGATTTAATCAGGACACAAGTACAAATTAGATGATTTGGGGGTGATTTTAAATGATTTTTACAAATTTTTAAACAAAGATTTGATATTGAATGAATGTGAAAGAAATTAGTGCTAGATAAACACAATTAAATGATACCGGAGTTACACTGACAGAGCCCATTTCAATATCCCCCCAAACTTGCAGGATAAAAAATAATATGATAAAGCTTGTTTGCCGCACAATCATAAACCTTTCTTACATGCACTTTAGTTTTAAACATCCGGTTTCCTCCCATAACTAAAGACCTCTATGTGCAAACCAATTATTGAAATAAAATTGAACCATGTCTTAGTCCCAAAATGACCTTTTTTGTGTGAGTGGGTGTTAATCCCCCCTCTCTCTCTCTCTCTCTCTCTCTCTCTCTCTCTCTCTTCATTTAAATCCTGTCCAGACTGCAGTGTATATAGAGATGTAATAAGATAAGTAAATTTAATCAGCTCATGAATATTCATGAAATGAATATATATGTACTGTAGTATATATATAGACATGTGAATAGTATTATTGAGCCTTGTTAGCCCTGTAAAGACTGGATAGATTTAGATTAAGTCTAGGTCACCATGCCTTTTCTGATATGTGAGACTCTAATGGATGTGTTTTATGACATTACAGTGATCTGTATTGATTGTAACGTCGACGTGTTGATTGGTTATTTTCTCCACACGCTTCTAGTTGAAATGAATGACAATTTAGTTGTCATTTGATGTAACGTAATCGTGTTTTATTTTTGATGGGATTGCTAGTTTGATGCGTGACATGCCCGAAACGTCTGTGAAAGATTGAATGTAGAGCGTTGACTTCATTTGGGTGGCTGAATGGTTTAAGGTGTGTTCTTTAGATCATATGGTCTGTCATTGAGCCAAATGGCAGGGTTTCGAGTTCCAGCTTGCACATGACAAGGAGTAGTGAAATGAAATGAAATGGGGTTTAACGTCCTACTGTTCTGTTCCTATGCTATGAGGGAAATTTTGCCCGGGCAGCGGCACTATCGCCTACTCTTACATCAAATTCCAACTGCCAAGGGATCTTTTACGTGCATTCCAATGTATACACGGGACCTCGGTTTTCCATCTCATCTGA